CACCTAATGATTAAGTGCATTAGGACACTAAGAAGAAATTTGATTTAGAAAACCAGAGAATGGGTAAGGGCTTGAAATTATCTTGAAGGGAAGGTGTTAGGCACCCCTCGAGATCCACTAGTGTGGTTCCTGGCCATGCTATAATTGTGACTTTAAGTGCAAACAACAAGTAGCCAAGCAAGAATTACAAATACGAGGAGGTTTTAACATAATGGCTGCAAGCAATTGAAAGTAGTTAAAGAAGTTGAAGTTTGGGAAGAAAGTAGTCTTTGAAATTCTGAAAATAAACAAGTAAAGGGAAGGGGGTTTCACATAATTACTGCAAGTAATTGAAGTTAAAAAGAAAGATTAAAGAAGTTGAAATTTGAGAAAAGCAGTCTTTTAAAAATAAACAAGTAAAGGGAGGGGGGTCCTAGGTTTATAAATAATATGGATCACCCCCCACAACACCCGGTAACCGTTTATACACGTGGTGTTATCGCATGGTCATCATATCCATATCTACCCTTTCCCACCCCGTTAAGGTATTAAAACGCGGAATAGTCTCGTTTTCTTATTGCATGCTACTACCCGCCCCAATCCTATCAGTCCCGGAGGTATTTGGGACTACTAATCCTAAAGGGAAGGGATGTGAGGTTTTATAGTTTCAAAAGACAAAATTTTAAGGCGACAATCAAAACACATATGTAACAAATATAGGGGAGAAGCACATAACAGATAGAAAGGGCTCAAACAAACCTCCTTAAAAAAACAAAGAGAAGCATATAGTTTAGCATGTCTTTACACGTACTGATTAGGGTCTGTTTAAACTTAAAAGTTGTGGCGGACTGATCTATTACATATTTCAGATAAGAAGCCCAAATCAGGACTGCCTGCTGGTTGTAGTTAATAAAAATCTGATTCAATTTATAAGTTATCCTATGGCTTGCCTAAGTGTTAAACGAAACCTATAGGCATGATATCTATTAGTTCAGAAAAGAAGTATGCTGATTTAGGAAAAGAAACTGTCAATTACAGGAGTATAAATTCTACAGTCGTTGTTGTTACTGCTAATTTTAGACTTATAAGCGAATGGGCGATTCAGATTTTAGTTGATAGCTCCTATAGGCATGCTTTCTAGGTGCTATTGATTTGAAAAACATTTTTTACAAGCGAAACAAGAGTGCAGAAGTCCTATGGGAATGATATCTAAATGTTGTTAGTTGTTTAAACCTATAAACGAGTTTGCCTAGTGATACATGCAGATGCAAAATTCAGGAAGTCCTATAGGCATATTATCTATATGATATACAGCGTTTCAGAGATGACTTATAGACATGGTCTCTATATGATGCAGAAATGCAGAATAGACATAGGTTCTATATGAAATGTAGAACCTATAGACATGGTTTCTATATGAAATACATAACCTATAGACATGGTTTCTATATGAAATGCGTAACCTATAGACATGGTATCTATATGCAATACAGAAACGAAAGTTGAAAGTAGGATATAAGTACATAAGTATAATTTTCACCTATGAACATGATATCTACCCCTTTTTGCATGCATGATTTACCCTCCCCCTTTCACTAGAAGCCCTAATAGTTATTACAAGTTATTACAGCCCAGAATAAATAAGAAAAGGTAAAATTACATTAAAAAAATTTACAACCAAGGAGAGCCTGATTCAGGTTTCCTGCCTGAAGCATGAAGTAAACCAACTCCAAAGACCAAAATCCAAAGCCTTTCTCATTTGGGTGTGTCAGAGTTCCCAAGAGCCTCATGGACTCCGGGCAGTGCTTACACCCAAATACAAGATTGAGTCATAGTGCAGTGTGGAAGAGCCAGCCCTCAAGTGTCCAAGTTCAGAGGGAGCTCAAGGTCCTATGGCAAGGCTCACAGGAGGGGGGCAGAACTTAGAAACTAGGAACGAGTGTAAGTGCAGAGAAGGGATTCTAGGGGAAAAGCAAAGATAGGTTGGTGGTCATACCTAGCAATTGGAAGTGCTGGCACAACCCAACCAACCTGTTAGACATATTGTTTGGGAGTTAGGATCCCCTAAGGGATCAAGTCCAAACATGAGCAACAATTTGGATGTTGTCATGTTCTGAACTTCAACTCAAATACATAGAAGGGCACAGGGATGCAGGGATTCATAGTAGAAACATACGCAAAGAAGTTGACATGCTAATTAACGTTAAACATAGGCAGTAAAGCAGACAGGAGTGTAGGGATTCACAGTAGAAACATATGCAAAGGAATTGACATGCTAATTAACATTAAACATAGGCAGTAAAGCAGACAGGGCTGTAGGGATTCACAGTAGAAACATATGCAAAGGAATTGACATGCTAATTAACATTAACCATAGTCAGTAAAGCAGACAGGGGTGTAGAAGCTGTAATGTAAACACATTGGGATGAGGCTGAAAACCAAACTAGAACATACCAGTTTCAGGGAAACAAAAGAAGAGAAAGCAGTAGTCTTGTAAAGCCAAAGTGCAAGCAAGCAGTTAGAACACTATGATTTTAGAAGAGAACTATGAGATTGAGTAGTGTAAAAGTGTTGGATTGAGAGTCTGTAATTGAAAGTGTCTGAAAAGTTGAATTCGAGGCTGTTCTTGTGAGAAAGGAGTCTTGCCCTTTTTATATTGTAGAAGGCAAGCAGAATAAGGTAGGAGAATAATTTAAAAAAATTCAGTTGTCAATCAATTACACAAGTTTCCCTTTAGTTAAGGGATTTTGATTTCAAACGGGTAAAATAATTAAGGCAAGAGGTTGATCAAACACTTTTCCAAAGCATTACAAGAAGGGTAAATACATAGAGATTTATTTAAGGAAAAAGTTTGATAGCACACGATTTGTGCAAAATAAGGAAAGGCAATCAATCAACAGCCAGTAAAATCAACAATTGAAGATTTCATGTGAATGAACCAGGCCAGGAAAATGGGAAAAATCTCGAATTAAGGAAAATCAGTACTAATCAATTAAACCTAAAAGAGGATTCTGAATCAATCAAAAGTTGAAAACCTTTTTGGAAGAAAGGATTCATCACACATAAAAACATACAGCCATGCTAAAGTACGAAGAACTATCATACCAATCAATAGAAGGGTCTAGCATAGAAAAAGTTTAGAGTCATAAACAAAGTCAAGCTCAGTTTATAGACTCAGAGTGAGTCTGAGAGAGTCCAGGGTTCAAAAATAGAACCCTAGTCCAAACACAAGATCAAAACTCGCCAAAACCCCAAATCCTAGGGTTTCCAACTCAAATCAGATACAGAGACGAGGAGACAAATAATTGAAACATGTTCAGAGGTTTCTTTCAGAGACTTATAAGAAAACAAACAGATACAATAGCAAGTTTGAAACAGCAAAGTGAAGAAACTGACTCGAAGCATAGTGAGGGTAGAAGGAACATGTTTTAAGAAAACCTGGGACTTAAACAAGTTCAGAAGCGAAAAGAGGTAGTATAACACTTAAGAAAACAGTAGATGAAACATGTTTAAAGAGAACTCAAACAAGGTCCAGTAAAAGGGCAAACAAAGAACTTAAGAACTCCGTAGGAGATACATATAGTAGGAGAACACAAAATACCAGAAAAATATATCAACAAGACATATAGGAAAAACACAGTAGGACGAACATATAAGCATGGTGTATAAACACAGTAGAAAGACAAGGCACAGAAGAACATATATAGTAGAAAAACATAAGAAAGCAGTAGAAGCACATGCGTGACAAATATACACAAAGAAAAAGGAAAAGAAAAGTCGGAGAAACATTTTGAACTTTTCAGAAACCCTAAATCGAAGAGAAGTAATTTTTGAAAGAAAAAATTGGGGAAAATGTTTAAGAACTCAAGTAGAGCACAGATATAGAACAAATTTAAGAACAAATCAGAGAAAACCTCGAACAGCTAGGGTTTCAGAGGAACCCTAAAACGAGAAAGGCTTGGAAAAGGTTCGATCTGAGTCGGATAAGTCAGAAATAGGCTCATAATGCTTGGATACGCCGGAGCAAAGCCGGAAAGGCCATGGAACCTTGAATCGTGAACGGACACCATCGAGGTCAGACCTCAAAACTTCAAACACCAAGTGTTCAAGAGCAGAGGGAGGTGAGTATAGGCCATCCATGGCCTGAGAGGCCATGGATTCCGGTGAGATTGAGGTTGAACATGGTAGAAGTAGGGTTTCAAGAACCTTCGAGAGAGTTTGAGAGAGTTTGAGAGAGGAAAGGAATTCAGGGGTGGCTGATAGAGTGAAATGAGTAAGGGTTGGGGGTTTGGGTGAATTAAAATGGTAAGGGGAGATCGTGTTGATCAGATTGATCAACGGCCTGGATTAAAAGGGGTTTGGGTCGGGTAATTAAAACGGGTTAAGGGTATGGAATTGGGCTGGTCCGGTTGGGATTCAAAATTGGGTCAATTAGGGGGGGTCAATGTGGCTATAGTCGAAATGTAATGGGGCTGCAATTGAAACGAAATGAGGCCAAATTTTAAATAGCCAGTTTTCCCCCTTTTATTTTATAAAAATAGTGAAAATGATTTTGAAAGCAGATTAAAAGTACTGGATCAGTTAATGATATATAAATATTAATTTAAAAATATTGGAACCAATTTCATAATTATAGAATGCTATTAATTCTTAAAATAGGCTAAAATTGCAATTACATGCAATTTATCCATTAAAATACTAAATAAATTGTAAAAAAATGTATAAAAATTACCTTAGCTATATTTTGGTATAAATATGAGAGTAAAATAAGTTATTCGCCAAAATGATAATTTTGGGAATAATTATTGGTTTTTGTACTGCTAAAATGGGCAATAAATTGATTTAAAAATTGATTTAGAAATCCTTTAAAGATTAGGAAAAATACTAAACACTTGGGCATACTTATATATGCTATTTTGAAAGTATTTGCAAGAAAAATACTTAGGAAAAAATTGGGTATCAACAAATACCATGCACAACCTCATCCAAATCCTCCCAGAAGTGCCTCTTAACCTCCTCATCTAAGCCCACTGGGGAACATACGCGCTAATGACATTTAGGGTGAGCTCTCCAACCACTAACTTAATCGCCATAAGCCAATCATTCACCTGCGTAACCTCAACCACCAACTCTCTAAGATCCCTATCCACCAAAATACCCACTCCGTTCCTACCCTTCATGCTACCTGAGTGCCACGGTTTAAACCCGTCTGCGTCCTTCGCTCTCGTTCCTATCCACCGAGTCTCCTGAACACATGCTATATTGACCTTCCTCTTCTGGAGAATCTTAGCTAACTCTATAGACTTACTCGTCAGCGTCCCTATGTTCCACAACCCAATTCTCAACCTAATGGCTCCCTTGGTCCCATTGCTCCCTTTGCCCCCTGCCCCACCCCCCACCACTCCCCCACCCCTGCCACCCCCTGCCACCATCAAGGACATGGCCTTATTCTACTATCATGGACCACCACCACTAGAATCGACGGTAAATTAAGGCAATTGATAACGCAATAACAAGCAATGTACCAACCTTGAAAAAACAAGCTACACAACAAGAACGCTAATGATTTGTGTAGACCAAACTACGAACTTATATGACAATTTTAACTTATGTAAGAGAAGGGAACAGAAAATCAGGAGGTACCAACTCCTGAAAGTAGAACCTCGCACATAGTCTTGACGTACACACGAGATCAAAAGCAACTCTGACTGGCCGGAGGTACTGATCCGCCTCAAAGCTGCCCGGAAAGAGGTTGAGCAGGCTGACTCACTGGCTGCAACCACTACCATACAATTTACTCTCTTGAAATCTGTGCCAGCACTTGACCGGATCTTCGCCGGAAAAGGGATTGCGTCTCCAGAACTACCTCTGTATAGTCCCACACACACAGAAGAAAGAGGGAGGGGGAGATGTTGAAGAAGGGTCGGCGGTGACGACTCCGATGGAGATCTACTTCGCCGGACTCTAACCAACAGGGGGGGAGAGAGAATGGGAAAGAGAGAGGAAGAAAGAGAAAGAGAGTAAGATAGAGGAAAAAGAAATAGAAAACTAGAAAAGAAATGGAGATTGGGTTCCTACCTAGGCTCGCCGACAGTGCGGTGCGGCGAAGAAGAGGTGGCATAAACAGAAGGGCATGTAGGATACTGTTAGTTTGGAGAAATAAATTTTGAAAACAGTAAAGATTTTAGGTCATATTCCAATTAAAAATTGATTTTAAAAAAAAATGAAAGAGAATAGAAACAGATACTAGTAGTGATAGAAGGGACGAGAAGGAAAAGGTGGAGAAAAGGTCAAACAGAGGCGTTCTTTTTGTGTAGGAGACCGACTATCATGTATTTCCTGTGCGAGACAACACGGGTGTTACTGTGCAACCCAATTTGGTATTTTGCATGTCGAAATAATAAATAATTTTTAGATCAAGCAAGGGCTACTTCAGACCATTCAGAACAATTGTGTTTTTCGAGGCAAACCCAATGAAGATCCAAATACTCATTTGATGGATACCTTCCAGCACAACAGGGTATCGAAAGATGCTATCTACTTAAGGACATTTCCTTTTTCACTGAGGGAGGATACTAAGAACTGGTTGCGGAGTTTGCCGACTGGGTCAATTCAAACTTGGTAAGACATGACAATGAAGTCCCTTGAATAATATTTTTCAGCAACAAAAACAGGGAAAATTTGAAGAGAGATCCACAACTTCGAGCAGAAAGATACAAAAACAGTGTTTGAAGCATGGGAAAGATTTAAGGATATTGTGAGAAAATGTCAGCATCATGGAGTAGACTTATGGATGCAACTCCATGATTTCTAGGATGTGCTGACACCCTCTGGCAGGAGGACACTAAGTAATGCAGTTGGAGGTCCTCTTATGAAGAAAACTCCTGAGGAGGTTGTTGCAATTCTAAATGAATTATCTGAAGATGCAAATCAATGGCCTGCAGACGATAACGAGAGAAGGAAAAAGGTTGGGGTGCATCAAGTAGACTCTAACACATCAGTGTAAGCCCAGATTGACACCATGGCCAGAGAGATACGAAAGTTAACCTTAGCCAAGGACCAGAGCCAGCCATCCTTGGTTTGTGATTTTTGTGCAATGGGGCATCCAATGCATGAGTGTTAGGCCTTACTACAGATGAAGTAGTAAATGTTGTGGGGAGCTTTAACAGAGGTAACTACTAAGGTGGCAATAATTTTAATTCCATAGGGCAGAGGAACCCAGGTTTTTTTTAGAGTTCACCATGTGGTAGTGTGAATGCATGGCAAAAAATAACTCCAGAACCCACGGACAAGGAGCTATATGTTTTCTAAATTAGCAGAGGCAGCAATATCAGCCTCAACAGTCTAATCAGTCTAGCATGGAAGATCTTATGAAGGCCTTTATTATTAAGATAGATGAGAGGCTTGAAACCCATGGCTCAGCTATACAAGAACAAGGCACAGCTATTCAAGAACAGGGCACGACCATTCGAAACTTGGAAAGACAAGTGGGGCAACTTGATAATATATTATATTAGAGGGTTCCAGGAACTCTCCCTATTGATACTGAGAGAAACCCAAAAGAGAAATAAATGTAGTGTCTTTGAGGAGTGGGAACGTATTGGAGGATCCTAGGGCAAAACAAAGGGATGAGTTGATTGAAAGACGGATAGAGATTGTGAAGGAGCAGCAAGATAGCAACATTCAAGAAGGTGAAGTGATGGTAGATGATGTTCCGAAGAAGAAGAGGAAGACTAGAGCTCAGAAGAAGAAGAAAGATGAATTCAATGAATGAGGAGACTGAGGAAAGCAAATACATGCCTACTCTACCTTTCCCTCAGAAGCATAGAAGAGAGAAGCTGGACAAACAATTTGGGCGTTTCCTAGATGTGCTCAAGCAGGCGTATGTTGATCTACCATTCACAGAGGTGCTTTCACAGATGCCAACCTATGAATAAGTTCTTGAAGGAGATATTTTCCAACAAGCGGAAAGTGGAAGAGATATCAGTTGTCAAGCTCACAGATCACTATAGTGCCATTTTGCAAATAAGCTCCCTCAAAAGTGTGGAGATCCAGGGAGTTTTACTATACCTTGCTCTTTAGGAAGTACCAAGTTTGAAAAATCTTTGTGTGATTCAGGTGCTGCTATTAATCGTATGCCTTTGTCTATTTTTAGGAAATTGGAGGGAGAGATTGGAGAAATAAGATCTATACATGTGTCTTTGCAGCTGGCGGATCAGAGCACAATCATACCGGAAGGAATATTGGAAGATGTGCTAGTGCGGTTGGACTTGTGTTCCCTATGGACTTCATCATGGTGAATGTGGAAGAGAACAGGGAGATCCCTCTGATTCTAGGGAGATCCTTCTTGGCAACGGGTAGAGCTATTCTGGACATTCAGGAAAGGTAGCTCATGCTCAGAGTGGGAGAAGAAAGGGTGGTCTTCAAGATGAAAGGAGCAATGGGGCCCTAAAGTAGCGAACTGAAAAGAGTAAGCATGATAAGTGTGGGGTGACCCAAAGAAGGCAGAAAAGAAGCTCACTGCATGGATGTGTGCACTAGGTCGGGCGTGCAAAGGAGATCCCGATTTTGACTCACACTCCGGCTAGATGATTCAGGGGATTTTTCTTTACCTCTTGCTTTTATTTGTGTGTCATGGGGACATGTCACAATTTAAAGTGTGGGGTGGGGATGTAAATATGTACATGTGTGTTTGTTTTCTTTTAATTTGTTTGGAACAAGAAAAAAAATTGACTTTTCCGGACGATGGATTTCCTCGACTTACTTCTTGAGGGATCAAAGTCGAAGAAAAAAATAATAATAATTTTTTTTCTTAGGTAGTGTAACAATTCTCCCTTGGATTTTCTTTGTGCCGCAGTTCTTTTCCAAGGATTTTGCTTGAACTAGGTGTAGTTAGTTTTTCTTTTGTTAGGAAATTTGAAGTCTTGTGCTATAGTATTAAATAGAGATGACTTTTCTTGACTTTGTTGTGCCTTGAGAGTGGTGATTGCCTTAATTGTGACGCCCAGGCTCAATTCTTGACTCATGTATAAGTGCCGTAAAATGTTTGATTATGATGTTGCTTAACCGCCTTGACTAGAGAGTCGGGATAGATCCGGTCTTAAGTGAGTTATGTACCAATGTGTGTATGAGGTTTTGGTGATATTCTATGCATGTCAGTTGATGTCAAGTACTTTCCCCATGTATTTGCAAAGTAAAATAACAGTCTTGTTCAGTTTAGGAAGTGATATATGCATTTCTTTGTTGAGCCGATTCTGTGTTTGTGACCCGCCTAATTGTTGTGTACCTTAGTTAGCCCCTTTGAGCCTGTAATCCTACTTCTTTGGCAACCACGCTACAAGACTGATCCATTTTGTTCGAATTGACTATCTGTTTGAACCTCTTATCTCCCTTGAGCACTTGAATTTGTTATGAGCTTGTTAAAAGTTAAGTTGAGGTATGTTTGGCTTTTGAGTGGAACTAAGAATAACTTTTCCAGATGATGAATTTCCTCGACTGTGTTCTTTAGGGTTCAAAGTCGAAGAAAAAAAATATTTTGTTTTTCTTATGTAGTGTAATAATTCCCCGTTGGTTTTTCGTTGTGTCGTAGTTCTTTTTCAAGGGTTTTGCTTGAACCAGGTGTAGTTAGTTTTACTTTTGTTAAAAAATTTGAAGTCTTGTTCTACTGTATTAAATGGAGATGATTGTTCTTGTTCCTTGAGAGTAGGGAGTGCCTTAGTTGTGACGACTAGGCTCAGTTCTTGACTAATGTATAAGTGTCGTACAAAGTTTGATTTTGATGTCGCTTAACCGCTTTGACTAGAGAGTCGGGATCGATTCGGTCCTAAGTGAGTTATGTGCCAACATGTGTGTGAGGTTTTGTTGATATTCTGTGCATGTCATTTGATATCTAGAACTTGTCCCCGTGTGTTTGCAAAGTGAAATAGCAGTCTAGTTCAGTCTAGGAAATGATATAAACATTTCTTTGTTGAGCCGATTCTATGTTTCTGACCCGCCTGATTGTTGTGTACCCTAGTTTACCCTTTTGATCTTGTAATCCTACTACTTTGGAAACCACACTACAAGCATGATCCATTTTGTTTGAATTGACTATCTATTTGAACGTCTTACCTCTCTTGAGCACTTGAATTTGTTCTGAGCTTGTTAAAAGTTAAGTTGAGGTATGCTTGGCTTTTGAGTGGAACTAAGAAAAATAAAGAAGGTGCACTAGTTGAAAATTGGTGAGAGCCACATGTAAGGAATTGAAAAAAAAAATCAATAAGCACTTTGAAAAAGAATGAAATATAAGAGAGGATATGTGCATGTATTAGAAGGATAAAAAATTGATTCCTTGCTAGTGGTGGGTCTCATTTTGTTTGTTCTTAAAGATATTGGGAGATAATGCTATTATGTGTGAAGGTTGAGGTTTGGTTCAATATAAGTGTGGGGTTGACATGTTAAT